TACATAAGAACACAGCCAATATGACCTAGAGGAAAAGCTAAAATATATCCCACCTTAGAGGTTATTTTCACCATGCTTGAAAATCTCAACACTCAACTTCGACCTGCAACTAATGGATGTTATCACTAGTATATTTTAAAATAGGTCTATCACAGTTACCTGGGAGAAAAGATGGCTGGATCAGTGTTTTCATTCAAAATGATAACATACAGAAAAGCCTGAAATAGTGTTTGTGACCAAAATGTCTAATTATTAATAAATTAATACAACTGTCAATTGTCAGTCAACTAATCAATGAACTGCTTCAACACTACACAAGGGGTAAAATGCAGGAAATAACTTATTCATATTTTTTCCAAATCTTCCTTTGCTGGATCAATAGTCAGTTCTGATTTGATTCATTCACTTCTATGGGTAATAAAAGTGCTTCAGCCACAATTTCTTAAGCTTAGAACACACACCTGTCTCCGTTTCAGCATCGCAGTGCTGTTATTTATGTTTACATCCATATATTATTTATGCTGTTTATTCCCATTTATATTCGAGTGTTTTATTCTCTGTTACATCATTCTGACATTGCTTTCTTTTAAACTGTAGGTCCACTTTATTATTCATTTACATTTATTTATATGTTTATTCAAACAGTTCTGTCTTTTAGTCTTATTTTGTTTAATTTTTTTTTTTAAATTAACGTTGTCTTTAGCCACCTGTTTTGAATTGCATTATAAATAAAGTTCTGGTTGACTAACCTACATCCCTCTAATTGCCTCCTCTGTCTCTTTGTTTCATTCCTACACTCTAACCAAGACACTCTGTGTGTCATTAGCATTTTGTTCTGTCCTGGAATTCTCTGTGACGGGCGCTGCCAGCGAGTAACCGCTGTGGCACCAGCCAGTCATAAATATTCTCAACAAGCTAGCTGATGGATGGTCTCTTTCTCCCTCAGTTTGAAAGCAACGTTCACAGGGCCACCACGACGGCCAACAATGCCAAGGCAAGTGAATGAAAGCTTGTTCCACGAGGGAACAACCTCAGCTGAGAGGCTGACAGAGACGTAACCGCTGTTTCTGACTGTAGGTGTCAAGACTGAGAGAATTTAACATGTCAGACACTGGAGCCCTGTCACAATAAGGACTGAAATACATGAGAATGAAAAACTTCCAGAGCTTTGGTTGAGATTTTAGGATTTCTACAGGTTCACAGTAACAACTACAAAGTTTGTTTTTCTTCTCTATCCACCTTAGAAACAATCAAAAAGCCATGCCATGTGATCATTTGTTTATTTAGCTTTAGGGCTTGCTGCTGCTGCTGCTGCTGCTGACTGACAAACTGCACAGTCACCTAAAAAGCCTTGAAGACCCCTGTGTTGTTGTGGCTTTCAGCATCCCATGCCTGAGCTCAGTCTACTGCATGCCTTACCACTTGGCTGCCTGTTGTAGTAGGACAGTTAACTCACTGATTGCAGGATGAAAACTGTGAAAACACACTGCTCGGGCTCCTCCACCCACAAAACCAGAGCTCTGCAAAAATGACACTGCTTGTAGAGTCAAAAACACCTTTTTCAGATAAAGTGAGTGTGAAAGTACTGTTTCCGCTGCCGTTGCCATCTGTTAAAATCTTATTCACCCTCTTTTCTCTGTGAAACTTTTTTTTTTCCCCTTCTGGCTGTTGTGTTGTGCTCCTCAGCTCACATTATACAATTTTCCTTAATCTTCCCATTTCTGACATGGTAGGCAAATTTTGAGACTCAATATTATTATTTGCTGAAGATGAGAAATTCTTATTTCTATTTGAGAGAGACAGCAGTACGCCTTCTTTCCAAGTTAGTTGCTTGGCAATGCAACTGAGTTCCAGCTCCATTTCCAGTGAAATGACTGTATAATGGGAGGAGGTGCTGTTGATGGGGGGGATGGGGGGGGGGATGAGTGTTTACCAACTGTTTATCTAATAGACCCATGCTAAAACTGCAAACACATGCCAAATAAATGCTTGTTTTGGTAGCATCTGAGCACTGGATTCTATAAGCATTTTGATATGCGTCGGCCTGAAAGCAGTCCAAGTTGTTCCTTTTAAACCGTGTCTTATTAGAACACCGGTGAAATATGGAGCTTTTCATCGGTTCACTAACCCGTGTTAATGATTGCCCAATAACAACAACAGCTATTGGTTCACCTTTGTACAGCAGACACACATTTAAGCGTGCCTCCCACGGGTGCCTCGCGTGTCTGTAACCAGCATGATTTACTGATACTGTACCAGAGAGAAGATGTTGGAGTGGCAGTCCTCAAGGCTTGCCCCGTTGGCCACCCAGTTCGTCGTTGTAGTCATAATCGTCCGCCGTTGGGATCGTCAGTGCTGGGCATGTCGAAATCCTACATCGGTATCAAAACACCGAGCAGGGCTGACAAACAAGCAGGCTTATAACCTCACAAGAGGTCCAGATAATAGACTCAGGGTGGAATGGGCGTATTCAAAGAGAAGTGCAAAACGCATCCATACAGCCCCGGTAGATAGATTGTTGTAAATCCAAGCGTGTGCGGGGATCAAAACATTGTTACAATCCAGGTCAGGCGAGTCCAAATGTGATCGCTGTCAAAGGCGGAGAGCAGAGAAATGTATCCATTTCAGTCCACACACACGCACGCACGCACACACAAACACACACGCACGCACACGCACAGAGGAAGATCAACCCGTTTCCATGTCAGTCTTTCCGCTGGTAGTTTCAACATTAAATGAGCATAATCCAAAACGACTTGTTTCTTTCGCACTGGGGAACAACACCAAAAAAAAATTGTGAAATTCGAGTCGAAACTTCTTTAAAAAATATCACAGGCTCGTCCCTCTGCAAAACAATTAACTTAGAGCCGAGACATTACACGCAGGATATCTGATTCCGTCTGCTCCACAAGCTGATGCACCACTTGTGATAGTTTTCGAGAATTGCATGAGCTATTTATAGCCTTCTTTCTTACCACAACTGTTCCGCTCACAATGTTTCTGCCTCGCACAGTGAGCAGTAATGTTTAATCCCTCTGTTGCTCTCGAATTAAACGCACCTCAGACGAGGGGGTCTCTAAAAGCAGAAAATCCCCCCCACCCCCTCCCCCCCTCCCGTGCTCCTCCGTGGCAGGGCGGACTAAATCGAGCGGGCTCCGGGTTAACCCCGAATAATGAGTCACAGCGTTGAGACAAGAAAAACTATCAGGGAAACGACACGCAGGCTTGTGTAGACGGACGTTTGAAAAAAAATCCTTCCTCCCTTTCAGTTTTACATCATTACGAAACGTCCTCTCACGGCTGCAACACCCCCAGTCTTGCACAAAAACATATCATGTGATTTTTTTTTTTAATGCACAGTTCAAGCAACGATTACTGACATAAAGAACATGGTGCATGCTGCAGAATCTTTTTAAAAACCCAGCTCGACATTTAAAAGCGTACCTCCTCCTAGAGAAATTTTGATTTTTGAATGAAATCCTCAATGTGTGCATGAATTCTCCAGCGGTGTCTTTCCCCCTCCTGTTTATCTCTCAGAGTGCGTGTTATTATATCGGTAAATAAGTGCTAAGAGTGTGTGTAGCCTGAGTGTGTCATTCTCACACTCGGTATCGGTTTGTTTTACGCGAAGCGTCGCTGTAGCCAATTCTTCGTCCAGCCCACCACGCATTGTAATGTAATGGCGGTCGGAAGCGTACTACCGATTCTCGCCTTCCCATTTGGCTAAGTTTGTGCTCACGTGATCAAAGTCTGGGATTACAGTACTGTTTTGTATCTGTGGTATGAGACTGGATGCGACGCTGGAGACGCTGTGCCAGTCGTGCGCTCTAATATTGCGCATTCACAGGGATTGCTTTGTTGTTACACTCTTTGTTGTTAAATGTCTCTTTGCTGTGGCTGGACATATGCCTCTTAAGGTGCGTGAGGAGATGTAATTTAATACATATATTTTTCATCACTGCAGGGTGCCATTATGTGATGCACTGGTTACATAATGTGTGTTCTCACAACAGAGGATGTGACAGAATAAATGTTAGAATGACTTACTGAGCTTCTACAGTGTTTCATACGAGACTTCTAGGTAGGTTAGTCTTACACTCACCAAATGGATCATATGATAACACTTGGAGGTCCATCGATGATGAATTGATATGCACTATATTAAAACAAGTATTGTTTGCAGCCCTCCAGTCTGGACAGAACCAGGGCCGCGATCAAGATTTTAGAGAAACTGAGGTCACGATGAGGTGAAGTCCCCATAACAAGATTTTTAATTCTTTTTAATTATTGGTTTGTTTGTTAGTTTTTTATATTTTATTTATTGAGTTGTCTTTTCAGTTATATTTTCTGCAAATTTTACTTGAAGCTGCATAAATATGCATTTTTGTGTTAATAAATCCTCTCTAAGAAAAGGTTTTTCAGGCAACTCCAAGTGGTAGGAGGACCTGGAACAGACCCAGAACACAGTGGAGGGATTAGATGTCTCATCTGGCCTGTGAATGCCTTGGCGTCCCTCAGGAGGTGCTGGAGAACATCACTGGGGAGAGGGACACCTGGGTCACCCAGCGAAACCTGCTGCCCCGGTGACCCAACCCCAGATAAGTGGATGGTGATGGATGGATGATATTAACAAATAGAAAAATTATTGTTTACTGTGAAAGGTGTCACTTTTAGCAATGGCCCTACAAAGAATTTTGTAAAGCAGTTTAATGTTTTCCAGCTCATTGTTTTAATATTCCAGCATGGAAAATAGATCCTTTGGGAGTTGGTAGAGACCAAAGACAGAGCCAAAAGGAGAATGAACAGGTGGCAAGAACAACAGCAAATGAATCTTGCTCAGTACCTGCTGGGTAGGTACACAGGAAAGTGTTTGTTAATACATTTACTATAGGTTACCAACTTTCTAAGGTAAAAATGTTTAAAGATTTTTATATTGCCCCCATGTGGGCAAAATCCCATGCAGTGCAGGTTTGAACTGAGAGGATCTGTCTAGAATGAGCAAAACTGCTCAAAATCCAGATGTGCTGCACTTTCCTCACAGTTGGACTTGTAAACCAAGCTACACTGACTATGATACAGTTCAGACTGCTTTACCTTGAATAGAATTTTAGACACGAATAAACTGGAAAATGAATCGTCAATAGTTACAGACCTCTGGATCCCCCTAGAGTTTCTAAGCGATTCAATAGTTAGTTTATTCAGTCAATAAGTTTTTATCCTTCAATAACACAGATACATGAAATGTATCCAATTGAACTGAATGGACCTTTTCATTTGCAGTCATAAAGCAGCAATGATTTTAAATGCTCACGTTGTGTAAGAAAAAAAACCTAAACCTTTATCCTGTTATCAGGCTCCCTTTCCAAGGATTTACTTTACATGTCAGTGCATTGGAGTGAAAATTCAGCTCAGACTATGTTTAAGAGTAAATTAGTGACAGACAGTGATGAGTGAAGTTTCTTTTCCTTGCCAGATTTTCCACTGAGCTCAATCAGAGCCTAAAGTGTTAGTAGTTAGTTTTATTCTTTATAATTTATAGGTTGTTCAAGGCTGAATACAAGATTATTCTTACATATAAACTATGTTACCCCTAAGTGTATAATTTAGCAGTGAACTATTTATAGACAACGGTATATTCCTTGCAGTCATAAAGACGATCAGTATATACTGACAAATTCAATGCATTATGATATAAGGACATCTTACATTACAGTAATCACTTCATACAATTTTATGTATGTGAGGAAACAGCTTGCATCTGGTACATATTGGCACAGAGAGGGAGTCTTTAGTTTGGTGATTCCTTTCTGAAAAGCAGTGCAGAAAAAGATATGAATCAGATGGATGAGCAAGGGCTTAGCCTGGCAGTTATTGATCCCTTTGCTCCAAAATTGATCCAGACCTCATTTGGAGACCCTTTTCCCCCCCACTTTTGTTCAATACATCAGTAAAGGCTTTGAAAAGACTCACACACTGGTTGGCACACTTGGTGCAGAGCCGATGGGATGAGATGCTATCAGTTTGAATAAATCTATTTCAATATGCCACGCATTTCCCCTCATCAGGCCCCCACTGACTTGATCTGTGTGTGAGGAGAAAAGATGCATTATTGCTCTGATTAAAGATAATGTGTTTGTCTAGACTTGCTGGGGATGGAGTGGAAAGGCATTTGTGCATGTGTGTAATGGAGGGGTTGTGTGGCTTTGTTAAAGTATCTGTGGACATGTCATTTTGTTTCTTGTCATACACTGACAAGGAGCCATATTTTCACACACAGGTGGTTTTTTTCCAACACATAAAATAAGTTATTCACAGTTTTTACAGTCGTCTTGTAAGAATTTAACCTTGTTAGTTTCTTTAAAACACATTTGTCGGTTATGCAATAAATCTACAAGTGGGTACTAAAAGAAGGACATAATGGAAATGTTAACTAAAACAGGGTTTGTCATCATTTATGCTGGTTTATTAAAGCTCCTACCACCTTCGTCTGAAATATTTCTCAGCTGTATTTAATATCCACAATTAAAGCAAGTCAAAGTTAGAAAAAAGCATATATTAAGATGCGAACTCTAAAACACACAGTCTAATCTGTTTCAGCGGCAGCACCAGCTTGTGAGTTCAATATCACTCAAGGCAAGACAGCTTTATTTATATAGCACTTTATTTATATAACACATTTCAATATTATTGGGTGGAAGGTACCTTACATTAAAATAGGCTGCACCACACAAACTGGTTCTTATGTAGTGATTAGCTGTTGTATAGCTCACACATGCTAGCATCAACTTGTTAGTATATTAATATAATATTAGTAATATTAAGAATGCAGAGAGAAAGACTCATCAGACTTGGCACTTAATGCTGTTTAATACAGCTGTAAACTGGGGAAATGTAAAATGACATTTCACCAAAACAACACAAAATACAACATAAACTGCAACTGTTTGAGTGCTCATTATTAATTCAGGATGAGCATAATGCAAGGGATCATGGTCGCACAGACACTGACGGGTGTTCATCATTCTTACCTAGTGAGGAATGTGTTTCTTTTAAGGCACAGAGCAGTAGCCTTGCTTGCAGTATCTTTATTAGTGATTGATGGATCACCATGCACTAAGTCAACACACACCCAACAGCAAATTCTCTCCATAAAATCAGATGAGAGTTTCTCCTCTCTTCGTGGCTCCAATACCTCTCTGGCATTTCCTGGAGCGCGGAGAGTCTGGCTGAGAAGAATAGATGGTGTGCATTATAATGAACATGGGCTGACACCGCCTCATCCATCATTCCACCCAGGAAAATTATAGCAGTGCCAGAGACAGAGGGAGAGAGAGAGACTTTAAATCACAGAACGTCTTCAGGTCTAACTCCTCTTAGACTGTAATCAGCTCGTTGTTTTTTAACTGCTCATTCCACCATTTGCAGAGTGTTTATCTCCCTGTCAGTTTACTGTATCTCCACTGTAACTCTCTGAATGTATTTGAATATGCTCCTATCTGTTTCCACTTATATGCTTGTTTTGTGCCTGTTTAGGAGCTTGTCAGACTGCATTATTTTCTTTTCCTGAAATTTGAGCTGAGACTAATTATCAAAAATGCCATTGAACAATTTTCTGTATATTGACAAATCAACTTGTTTTATAAACTAAATCCAGTTGTGCTCATTTATTCTGCAATTTGCTATCATGTATTTTAATATTTTTGCTGACGTCTTTTGCCTGTCATGCCTTGTCATCTTATTACGTCCCTCTGTACTTTAATAACTGTGGTGTACTGTCTGCCTGGCAGAGGACCCCCAGCCATGACGTTTATCCCCACTGAGTCCACTCATGCCAGTATAAGTCATCCGGATGCTGGTTTTTCTCCTTATTATATAAGCACATTTCTCAATGTGCCAAAGGTTTGTCTCTGGACACTGAAATAGAATTCAATTACGCAGCACACTCTCGTGCTTTCTGGGCTTTTGAACGAGTCTTGTTATTTCAAACCACATA